GCCTTGGCGTTGTCCCTCAGCTCTTCAGCTCAAGGCAAGCGCTCTACCACTTGAGCTACAGCGCCACTTCCGGTTTTCTGGTGGTTTATTGGAGATAGAAGTCTCACGGTCTTTCCTGCCCGGGCTGGCTTTGAACCGTAATCCTCAGATCTCAGCCTCCTGAGTAGCTAGGATTACAGGCATGAGCCACCAGCGCCTTGTCTTTAGATCTTATGGAGTCTCATTATTTAGTTTACATAGGCCTTGAATGTTTAATCCTCCTTCCTCAGCCTTCAGAGTCCTGGAATTTCAAGTATGTACCACAATACCCAGCTTGCTTCTATGATTTTTGACTACTTTATTTGATATGGCTGGGCACTGGTGGTTCATGCCTATAATCCTAGCTACTTAGAAAGCTGAGATCTGAAGAGCTTAATTTGAAACCAGCCTGGGAGACTTTTTTTTTCTTTTGCCAGGGCTTGAATTCAGGTCCTGGGCACTGTTCCTGAGGTTCTATTTTGCTCAAAGCTAGCACTTTACCACTTGAGCCACAGCACCCCTTCTAGCTTTTTCTGTTTATGTGATTTGAGGAATTGAACCCAGGACTTCATGCATTCTAGGTAAGCATTCTACCACTAGGCCACATTCCCAGCCCCATGAAAGACGTTTATCTCCAATTAACCATCAAAAAGCCCCAAATGGAGAACTAGCTCAAGTGGTACAGTATCTGTCTTGAGTGAGAAAGGTAAAGGAGCACATGGGCAATAAATAAAAAGATAGATGAAAAAATTAAAATACACATACTTCATATGAGGGAATTATTGAGTATTTGTCCTTTTGTGACTGGCTCCCCACTTACTTAGCATTGTGGCCTCACAACTAATCATAGAGGTTTTTCCAGAGCTTTGAAGTCCAGAAAGTAAAAGTAAACATGAAGTATTGAGCTATATATTTATATGTAGTGGTTGATTACATATACTCATATATAACTTGATAAATGCATATGTGCAGCTAGATGAAAATAGCTTACAAATTAATTTTATTACAAATTTGTGTGTGTACACACGCACATGCGTGTGAATGTTGGTCTTAAGGCTTAAACTCAGTGCTGTCTTTTAGCTTTTTAGCTCAAGGCTGCTGTTCTATTACTTGAGCTAAAGCTTCACTTCATGCTTTTTGATGGTTAATTGAAGAAATGAGTCTACAAACTTTCCTGCCCTGGCTGGTTTCAAAATGCAATCCTTAGATCTCTACTCTCTGTAGCTAGGCTTACGAGCATGAGCCATTGACACCCAGCCTAGTCCAAATTGTGATTTAAAACATTTTGCATGGGCTGGGAAGGTGGCTCAGTGGTAGAGTGCTTGCCTTGCATGCATGTGGCCTTGGGTTTGACTCCTCAGCACCACATAAGCAGAAAAAGCTGGAAGTGGCTCTGTGGCTCAAGTAAAGTGCCAGCCTTGAGCTGAAGAGCTGAGGGATAGTGCCCAGGCCCAGAATTCAGGCCCCATGACTGACAAACAAATAAACAAAACATTTTGCTTACAATTTAATTCCTTTTTGACACTCAGTTTCTTTTCATTAATTGAAAAAAATAGCATTCATTTATACTATGAGTGCCAGCATGTGTGAATAAATATATAAACTTTCAAAGAACAAACTGGTGTTTATTAATGAATGGCCTGTTTTATCACAGCAGCCAAATGACCACTATGGACAAGCAGGAATCAACTGTCAGTTGTCTATAGCCAAAACAAACAAACTTAGACTACCAGAAAGCTAGTACTAGTGTTTCCAGACATGCCCAGGGGTAGGCTTAGAGACTAAGCTCTTTGGACAAGGGAGATTTATAATTACCCTGCATTTACAGGGTAAATGGAACCAAGATTAGAATTCAGGAACATGTCTATACTCGTGCCCTAGGCACCAGTCCTGCAACTAGTAAAACATTTGCATGAGGGAATACATTGTGGTCATGATGTATTAGTAGAACTCACCCAACCTTATTAATAATAGGAACCTCAACTATAACAGTCTGAATGACCAGTCACTCAAAACTATCACTCACGCACTTGGAATAATTGTAAGGTAGAACTAAAAGACTTTTAGAGAAGGGAACCCAAATACGTGGGAGAACATCCTTTTAAAGACTGAAAGAAGACCTTAGTGCTACAGAATACTGACAACTTCAAATGTCTATTGATACTAGTTGATACCTTTTCTGGGTAAGCCAAAGTCTACTCTACCCAAACTGAGAAAGTATCAAAGGTGACAAAGGCCTTACATTAAAAAAAAAAAAAAAAAGCTGGGCACTGATGTCTCACACCTGTAATTTTAGCTACTCAGGAGGCTGAAATCTAAGGATTTCAGTTCAAAGCCAGCCCAGGCAGGAAAGTCCATGAGACTTTTACCACCAACTATCCACCAGAATACCAAAGTGGAGATATGGCTCCAAGTGGTAGAGTGCTAGCCTTGAGCAAAAATGCTCAGGGACATCCCCCAGACTCCAAGTTCAAGCCCTATGACCAAATAAATAAGGTACGGAATCTCACCTTCAACCCAGAATGACAAGGGACTTTTCATCATAGCAGAAGTTAGCCAACCAGCAAGTAAAGCCTTAGACATCAGATGACAATTACATGCATCATAGAGCCCTCAATCTACTGGACAAGTTGAAAGAATGGATCATATGCTCAAGAGGACAATAGCCAAAACAATGTCAAGAAACCCATTTAAAATGGGACAAGGTATTGCCAGTTACCTTTCTCCACTTATGGAGAAGTTATTAAGCCCCCATGAAATAGTATTTGGTGAACTCTTCTGGCCCCTTGAAAAAAATGGTGAAAATATAAACAAAAAGAAGAAACTTAAGGTAAAGCGGTATATACCACCAATAAATCCAATACTGACTGCTACCCATAAGTTTGCTTCTTCCAGGTCACCAGCCCAGCTGAAGATTCCTCTTCCTGCCTTCAAGACAAGAGCTTTAAGTCCTTCTGAACACTTGGAAAGAGCAGGGGCCGGAACACCTAGAAGAAGAGTAGAAAGGCACTTCCAAAGTGCCTCTGGCAGCTCACACCTCTCTGAAGCTCCCAGGATCCAGCTGTGAATGCGCCACACAAGCCAAGAAGATCAGACGGAGACATCCTGCCATTACTAGAACTCTAGTGGAAAGCCAGCCACTGGAATACCAACGGCTTCCGTTGAGAAGAAACGGACAATGAATGTGCTCAGAAGCCTACTAATTTGTTTCTGTCTTTGTATCCTCTCTGCAGGATGGAAGGACAACTCGATGGTCCGTATTGCTCAGTCACTGGCTTCCTCCATGCAGGCAGTAGACTGTTGGATCTGTGTCCCGAGAGCCCGCGCTGTCGTAGATCATAGTGACCCTCTTGTCCACCCTGTCACTAATTTCACTCAGGTTCCAGATGGGGTGTGGACACCAACACTGGACCTCAGGGCCCGTACTATTATGTACCGGGTACGGATAGTACACTATCCAGTCGAGGGTTCGTCCCCTGTCCCCTGTCTAACTCTTCCACTTATCGCAGCTAATGCCGTCTATATAACCCACATTGATGACAATGGCAAGGAAACTCGGATTCCCAAGTATTTTGAAATGATCTCCCCTCCCAAGGCAGGACAGTTACCCATGTGTATCCAGAAAAACACTCGGTTTTCTGCAGAGGAGTTTAAAGTAGTAGCTGATTACTCCTTCCAGAATCATCCTTGGATAGAAAGGACAGGGTTTCGAGTGGGGGAATACTTCCACACCAGAGATCCATTGAAGTATTTTAAAGATGAAATGGTTTTCTGTGCCCCCTCAGGATTTGTGTTTGTCTGTCAAATTAGTGGACACCCCTGGGCAACAAACTGCCTAAGAAACTTTTCCACCCCTACTCAGTGTCTGCTGGGTACCCTCATTACACCATTCTCCATTCATTCTGTAAATGAATCTTCTCATTGGGCAAGCCCTTTGAAGCTTTTGACTAGAGTGACTCGTGATTTACCAAGAGAGGTAGCAGAGGTACCAGGTACCAGATGGTATAATTTTGGCCATTCCTTTTTACCCTGGTGGGGAGTGGCTGCCCATCAATGGGTACTTCAGAACCTTTCCCAAACTCTGATAACTATAGCCAATGAAACAGCTTTATCCCTTTCTGATCTACATCACTCCTTGGACTCTCTTGCCAAAGTCATGCTGGATAATCGAATGGCCCTAGATTACATGCAGGCTGAGCAAGGGGGAGTGTGTGCAGTTGCTAACATGTCCTGTTGTACTTATATCAATACTTCTTCTCTGGTGGAAACCAGTATAGAAAAGATCCGACAGAAAGCTACTTGGTTGAAGCAAGCATGAGAGTATCAGGTATCCACTTTAGACAGCCGGGGTCTAGGTTGACAGGCCTATTTTCCAGTCTTTTTCTCTAGATCCCAAATGGTATCTAATCTGTTTCATTAGTTATCTTGCATTTTGAGATGACCATCATGTGGGTTATAGTCAATATATATATATACTTTCCTGCCTGGCCATTCAGTATACTCTACTTATATGCAAAACCACAGTGGGGCTTTAAAAGACACAGAGATTCTGGCAAGGACAAAGTATATATACTTTTCAGAAAATTTCCCTGACGTCACCCAACTTCAGCAGGAAGCGGACAGATGATTATAACGCCCCTTGTTTCCATGGAAATAGGAGGGGAAAAAAATGCCAGCAGGAAAATTTTAAAAGAGACATTTAAATGGTTGTAGTTTTAGTCTAGAAACTAACTTGCTTTACTAACCAGCCTGCTTTTTGTGATGATTTACATTTAATTGACAATTTTCTCTCTCTCTGCCTTTCCTTCCATGTGGGGGGAATTCAAGATTAGAACTCAAGATTAACAGTTTTTTGGCTCCCTAGCTTGCTGACACAGGAAAGTAAGAAAGTAACGTCAACAAGACATACAACGTGGAAAACTGGCACCAGTAATCGGGATAAGTGATCTCCTCAGATCATCATCCGGCACTGAGTCATGGCTTCTAGTCATGGTTTCTGAACACTTAGAACTCACTTCTTGGACTTTTGCTTAAAAATCCTCAATCCGTAAAGGACAGGGAAGGGAGGCAGCTTTTGATATTTAGTGTGATGTTTTCTTCCTATGTGTGACAAGTCAATAAAACTTATTTTCCTTTTTTTCTAAAATCCTGCTGTCATTATTTGTGAATTAGCACACAGTTCAGGGACCAAACTTTCTGTGACATTCTTCTCGCCCCTACAAAACTAGCTTTGGAATCTAGCACCAAGTAATCATAACTGTTACAATTTCCAAATAAGCCAAAAGCTGGTGGCTCACACCTGTAATCCTAGCTACTCAGGAGGCTGAGGTCTGAGGATCCCGGTTTGAAGTCAGCCCAGGCAGGAAAGTCCATGAGACTCTTGTCTCAAATTAACCACCAGAAAACTGGAAGTGGAGCTGTGGCTCAAAGTAATAGAGCACTAGCCTTGACTAAAAAGCCCCATGATGGAGTGAGGGGGTGGCACAAAACAATGAAAACAAAAACATGAAAACATTTTTCTGTAAGGGTTTTGGAGGATGGACAGGGAGAAAGCAATATTTTTCTTAGTAAGGTATGGAATGTACACACCTGAAACATCATGGTTGAGAGCAACTTAGTACAACTAATGCAAAATGAAAACAGGAATGACAGGAAAGTGGTGAGGGGGGTGTGTACCAGAAGGAATAGCAGCAAAGATGAACACAGTCAGTTTGTATAAAAATACAACAATGAAGCCTGTTGAGATTGTTCTGGAAAGGGGGAGTGGGATGGGGAGAGGGGTAGAAGACATGTGGTTGACCAGGTTACGTTATAAGCATGTGTGGAAATGTCACAACAGAATCTTCTTTGGTGGGTGAGAGGGGTGAGAATGTATTCATAAACTGCTCTGTTGAAGAGCAGCACTTTTGTACAACTACCTACAGAAAAATAAATACAACTACCTAAAGAAAAGAAAATATATATTTAGAAAAGATCTTGTTTGTACAACTAATGTATGTTAGCCCAAGAATCTGATTAAAAACCTATATTTAAAACACAAATGTTATTTTCTGTTTGTGTGGGTTAGGGGTCAGTACTTTGACTTTTCAAGATTTTTACAATTAGAAGCAGGGTGCAGGTGGCTCACTCCTATCATCCTAATGATTGAGTAGGCTGAGATCTGAGGATCACAGTTCAAAGCTAGCCAGCAAAGTCCATGAGACTCATATCTCCAATTAACCACCCAAAAAAACAGAAATGGAGCTGTGACTCAAGTGGTAAAGTGCCAGCCCTGAGTGGAAATGCTAAAGGACAGCACCTAGGCCCAGAGTTCAAGCACCAGGAGGGGCAAAGAAAGAGAGGAAGGAAATAAGGAGGAAAGGGAGGGAGGGAGAGAGGGTAAAACTAAGAAAATAATTGTGAGTAGGCTGAGTTCTTGGTTTGGTATGAAAAGCTCATATAAACTTGACAAACTCATTCCATTCAGCCAGTATTTTAAAACAAACGCAATGTAGAGCCTTTCCATGTTGGTGTTTTAGTATAATTGCTTGACTTTGTATCTTGGACCTGTTCATTGCTGCACTACACTGAGTAAAACATTAACTTTCTCATTTTTTGCCATAACAAGAAGTAGAGCAGAACACTGGCAATTGTGAGACCTCGTGAAAAACTGCAGTGAGGAAGATGAAGCTCCCGATTTTCATTGCAGACGCATTCACAGCAAGGGCATTTTGTGGGAACCCTGCAGCTGTCTGCCTCCTGGAAAATGTAAGTACTCCAGCTTCAAGTACACTACTGAAATTGGACAGTCCTGTAGGACCAAGTTTGTTGAGGTCTTTGGTTTTACTTCTTCCTCTTCTTCTTTGTCTTCATCTTCATCTTCTTTTGCTTTTTTTGTCAGTTTATGTTCTTCTTCTTCTTTTTGGTCAGTCGTGGGGAATGAACTCTGAGCCTGGGTGCTGTCCCTCAGCTCTTCAACTCGAGGCTAGTGTTCTGCCACTTGAGCCACAGTGCCACTTCCGGCTTTTTCTGCTTATGTGGTGCTGAGGAATCGAACCCAGGGCCTCATGCACTCAAGGCAAGTGCTCTACCATTGAGCCACCTTCCCAGCCCCTGGTTTGTGTTCTTTGTACTGGCATCAGGGGTGGTATATCTTCAAGTTGGTCATGACCAAATTATTATTACTATTAGTATAATTGCTATTATTATTTATTTGGTCAGTTGTGAGCTTGAACTCTGGGCCTGGGTACTGTCCCTCAGCACTGCAGCTCAAGGCCAGTGCTCTACCACTTGAGCCACAGCACCACTTCCGGTTTTCCAGTGGTTTATTGGAGATAAGAGTCTCACAGACTTTCCTGCCCAGGCTGGCCTTGAACCACCATTCTCAGATCTCAGCCTCCTGAGTAGTTAGGATTACAAATGTGTGCCACCAGCACCCAGCTCCATATTATTTTGGAGGGGGAGGGGGAGTCCTAGGACTTAAACTCAGGGCCTGGGTATTGTCCTTAAGCTTCTTTTTGCTCAAGGCTAGCACTCTACCACTTGAGCCATAGTGCCACTTCCAGCTGTTTCTGCTTATGTGGTACTGAGAAATGGAACTCAGGGCTTCATGAATGCTAGGCAAGCACTTTACCAACTAGCCATATTCCCAGTCCTCATGATCAGATTATCTGATAAGCATGTGAATCTCTAGATGCATTCAGAAACATGAAGAAGAACTGGGGGCAATTATAAAGGAATAACTAGTTTTCTGTGTTTTGACTGGGGTTTGAACTCAGGGCCTGGCATTTCCTAAGCAGGTGCTCTCCTAAGTAAGCCCTGCCCTCACAGGGCTCCTTTTGGCCCGGGGGGGGGGTTCATTTAATTAAAGCCAAACAAACATTGGGGGAATGAAATTAGGTGAGTTTTATGTGACTAGTCATGGCTGAAATTACATTTGCTGTATCTTATTTTAGGTAGCTATCTTTAACTTTATAGCACCAACATTTAGAAATTCTCAGAACCAAGAAAAGGAGACACTGTGCAAAGTACTAAGTAATCAAGTAGAAAGGTAGAAGTAAATGAGCTTTAATATGTAGCTTACAAAGTGTCCCACTTTAGAAAAGGATTTTTGATTAGGATAAAAGTTAATGGAATAGTGAAATACCTCTTGACTTTGTGTTGTGTTCTGGGTAGTAGGAAACATTTAAGGTGCTCTTCCATTCAGAGATGTTAGGATAAGAGTAGATTATCTAAGAAATACTTCCAGAAGCAGGGTGTTGGTGGTTCACACCTGTAATCCTAGCTACTCAGGAGGCTGAGATCTGAGAATCGTGGTTCAAAGCCAGCCCAGCAGGAAAGACTATGAGACTCCTATCTCCAATAAACCACCAGAAAACCGGAAGTGGGGCTATAGCTCAAGTGGGAGAGCGCTCGCCTTGAGCTGAAGAGCTGAGGGACAGCACCCAGGCCCAGAGTTCAAGCCCCAGGACCGACCAAGAAAAAAAAAAAAAAGAAATACTTCCAGAGACAGTCATCAAGGCATGGTGGTGCATGCCTTTCTAATAGGAGCATTTGGAAGGTTGAGGCAGTAGAATCAAGAGTTTGAGTTAAGAGGGTAACAAGTTTAACAAGAAATGTACTCACTATCTTACTTGAGTAACTGTAACCCCTATGTACATCACTCTGACAATAAAATTAAACTTAAAAACAAGAGTTTGAGCTAGCCAGAGCTATATAGTGAGATCCTATTTCAAAAAAATCTTGGAAGCTAAAACAACAATAACCTCCTCTCAAAGACAGATAGACAGACAGACAGAAAGGAAAGAAAGAAAGGAAAGGAAAAAAAGAAGAAAGAGAAAAGGAAAAGACAAGGAAAAAGAAGACAATAATTGATGCTCTTAAATAAGTCATACAGATTAAGCTATCCAAATAACCATTAAAGCCTTTGGGCAGAATGCTTCTCAACTTGTCTACACTAGGTGCATTAAAACATCATGTGCCGGGCTGGGAAGTGGCTCAGTGGTAGAGCGCTTGCCTTGCATGCATGAGGCCCTGGGTTTGATTCCTCAGCACCACATAAGCACAAAGAAAAAAGCCGGAAGTGGCGCTGTGGCTCAAGTGGTAGAGCGCTAGCCTTGAGCTGAAGAACTGAGAGACAGCACCCAGGCCCAGAGTTCAGCCCCTACGACCAGACCCCTCCCCCCCCAAAAAAAAAGTCTTTCCCTTGCCTGGGCACAGGTGGCTCAAACCTGTAATCCTAGCTATTCAGGAGTCTGAGATCTGAAGATCACAGTTCAAAGCCAGCAAGGGCAGGAAAGTCCATGAAGCTGTTATCTTCAATTACCCACCAGAAAACTGGAAGTGGTACTCAAAGTGCCACTCAAAGTTGTAGAGCACTAGCCTTGAACTAAGAGCTCAGGGACAGTGCTCGCTCCCAGAGTTCAAGCCCTCCCCAGCCAAAAAAAGTATTTTCCTGCATTGCTTGCATTCACTAGGCAAGCTTACAGCTGGTACTTCCTCCTATAAAATATAGATGGCAATAAAGCCAGCAGACTTTATCAAGTAACTTAAAAGCCTGGAAAGATTAATGAAAAAATAATTAATCAGATTCCAAGTCTTAAATTTTCCAAGTAATGAGAGTTTTGGAAGATTAGTGAGAGAATAATTAACAAGTAGGCTCAAATCTGTGAACCTCTCTCTTCTCTCTCTCTCTCCTTCCTTCCTTTGTTCATTCCTTCCTTTCTGCCAATACTAAGGCTTGAACACAGAAGCTCCATTTCTGGCTTTTTGGTGGTTAATTTGAGATAAAAGTCTCTCAGATTTTGTCTATTCAGGCTGGCTTCAAACCATGATCCTCAGATCCCATCCTCTTGAGCAGCTAGGATTATAGGCATGGGCCACCAGCGCCCAGCTTCTGAATTGTGAACTTCTTTGCAACAATCTGCCAAGCACAGCTTCCTGCTGAGTATTGCTGGAAATGAATGTAATTGTTTGTCAAGAATCTTAATATAGTTGTTCCAGGTTTCCATGTAATATCGTTTTTTTTTTCCCTTTGAGACAAGGTCTTGCCCATGGAATATTCTTGAGGGTTTTGAAAAGTAGAGTTGGAGATGAGGCTCCTTAGCAAACCTAAGGTCCTAAGTACAAACCTCAGTACCACCCCCACCAGTAAAAAGTATATACGTTTTGTAAATAACTTTGAGTGATTTATATGTTCACGTTGTACCAGATAACAAAAATTGGCATTGTTCCCTAACTAATACTACTTCTCCTCCTCCTCCTCCTCCTCCTCCTGTTCTTCCTCCTCCTCATTCTCTTCTTCTTCCTCCTCCTCCTTCTTCTTCTGTCAGTCATGGGGCTTGAACTCAGGGCCTTTTCCTGAGAGTTTGTTGTTGTTGTTGTTTGTGGGGCTTGTATTGGGGACCTGGATGCTGTCCCTCAGCTCTTCAGCTCAAGACTAGCACTCTACCACTTGAGCCACAGGGCCACTTCTGGCTTTTTCTGTTTATGTGGTCCTGAGGAATCAAACCCAGGGACTCATGCATGCGAGGC